GAATGAACATAACCACATACACAAACCTGGGTTAACATCATAGATCCTCCACACGTGACTTAAACTTTACATACATCTTTTTGGAATTTGTATAAAATTCTTTATCTGCATTTTTAGATAAAGGCTCATGTCAGGAAGCATAACACTATTCTTTATCATAGCAATATTCTGAATTATTATGAGCCATGATTAAAGATGAAAGGAGATTCTAATATTTACTCATCACCTAGATACTCAAATGTTATTGCATAATCTCTAATCTAAACTTAAAACTTCGGACCAATTAGTAAGATAATTTATATTCTTAACACACTATTTTTCCTTGTCATTTTAAGCCCCCTCCACCCCACAAAAAAGAAATTTCCTAGAACACTAACACAGAGATAAATTACTTTATTTTCAGATGGTGCTACCTGCATTGCAGGACTCAAAAATATAATACTGTATTTTCATTTTGTTCTCTTGACATACATATCAGTTATTTACTTGCAATGATTATGTCTTCATCTCCTAACCAATATCACTTCAAGCAAAACTCTCTGATGCAACTTGGATATCTTGATAGAAGCACAGTTTTCAAACAACTAGAAATCTACGTATTCCTGAGGAGCATGTTAAAAATTCAGAGTTAGAAGATAACGTGACAAATTCGGATCCATTTTCATATGACATGGAAACATGGGGTATATAAGTGCCACAGTCTACTTTAACAGGAAATATCGGGAACACCTGAGAAGTAGGCCTCTTGATTGTGAGAACCTGTACTTTAGCATCACTGTCCTCACTTCCAGGTAACAAGACACTTCTTTTTTTTTTTTTTTTGGGGTGGGGAGGTCCAGTCATGGGGCCTGAACTCTGGGCCTGGGTGCTGTCCCTCAGCTCTTCAGCTCAAGGCTAGCGAACATTCTATATTTCTAATTTCAAAAATATTTTCTTTTTTCTCTTTTTGGTTGGTCGTGGGGCTTGAACTCTGGGCTTGGGTGCTGTCCCTGCACTCTTCAGCTCAAGGTGAGTGCTCTACCACTTGAGCCACAGCACAACTTCTGATTTTCTGGTGGTTTATTGGAGATGAGAGTCTCACAGACTTGCTTGCCCGGGCTGGCTTTGAACCATGATCCTCAGATCTCAGCCTCCTGAGTAGCTAGGATTACAGGTGTGAGCCACTGGCTCCCAGCTTTTCGAAAATATTTTCTTTAGATGACAATTTTATCCTACCTTTTCACTTTCCAAATTGTAGTAAAGTATTTATAATGCATAATCAATAATATAGTCCTCTTTCTTTCATGTTGTCTTCATTTACCCAGTCAGTCAAAAAAAAAAAAATCCCTGCTCAGAGGGTGAGATCTGAGGATTGTGGTTCAAAGCCAGCCTGGGCAGGAAAGTCCATGAGACTTTTATATCCAATTAATCACAGAAAAAGCTGGAAGCAGCATTGTAGCTCAAGAGATAGAGTGCTAGCAACCTTGAGCAAAAAGGAGCTCAGGGATGGTGCCCAGGCCCAGAGTTCAAGGCCCAGGACCAGCAAAAATAAAAAATAAAACAATTAAAAAATAGAAATGTCCAATTACCCAAACCCCATTATGATTTAGACCCTATACTCAGCATTTTTTACATTATTTTGCAACAATCATGAAAAGTAGATATATGTTACTTCATTCGTAGATGCAAATGAGGTTTAATTTATCTAACAGGCATACCTAAGGATACACCTACACACATCTCATATGAATTAAAAACCATGTTCACATTCATATTCCTCCAAAACACTCAAATAGAACTTTCTTATCCAAGAATCCAATGCATATAATTTTGTGGATACTGTTTTTTTACTTCTCCTACACTTTCTCACTGATACCCATCCATTCTCACATGGTTTCTCTTCTGTTTTTGAAAATCAATGAATAGATCATGACACACATCTCCTTCCTTTCTGTATTTGAAAACCATTGTGCTAGCTGGTATTGGTATGTCATGCCTGTACTCATAGCTACTCTGGAGGCTGAGATCTGAGGATCATGGTTCAAAGCCAGCCAGGGCAGGATCATCCCTGAGACTCGTATCTCCAATAAACCACCATAAAAATGGAAGTGGCTCTGTGGCTCAAGTGTAGAGCACTAGCCTTGAACTGAAGAGCTCAGGGATAATGCCCATGCTCAGAGTTCAAGCCCCTCAACCAACAAAAAGAAAAAAAAAGAAAAGAAAACAATTGTGTTTTGTTCTTACAATTAGCACCTGTAATAGATTGTCTACTTCTGAGTTTATTTATATATTAGATTCTCTACTTCATTAAATTGACCAAGAAGTGCTCTCTCTCTGGAATGAGACAGATCTTACAAATCACATTCTAGTATTTACTGACTATGTGGTCTTGACAGCTCACATTTTTTAGCTTATTATCTACCACAATTAATGTTATTCACCAAATATTATCATTGTTAAGATTAAATTAGGTTAAATTAAGATTAAATTATTGTTCTACATATGATGTAGAACAATAGCTTGAATATAGCTGGACCTCAAAATTGTGACAGTAAGTTCTATAACATTGATTTCTACCTCTCACTTCCATTATCCAAAATGTTCACATTGGTGCATTTACTAAATACGTAAGAAAAAAATCCACTAGAATAGCATTGTTAAAACCTTTGGTAGGCAAGGAAAGAGAAATGCTTCTGTTCAATGAGTGCTGTCTACTGAGAAGGGCTTAGTAGTGGGGAGGAAAAGAGAGGTTGAATTGTGTTAAAATATATTATTAATAAATATGAAAATGGGAAAAGGATGCCTGTAAGACATGCTTAATAGGGGAGTGGGAAGGGGAGTGATAGAATGAAGGAGATAGATTGGAATTCAGTTTAAACATGTATGGAAATCTACCAATGAACCCATACTACCAAGGTATAACTAATATAAGATAATTACAGAAAAAAGGTGAATTATAATAACAACAACAAACAAACACAGAAAACTTCTGGTAGCCAAGTGTAGTGGGGTATGCCTAACCATCTTTTCAGAAGGAGAAAGCAGGATGGCTGCAAGTTTGAGGCCAGTGAAGGAAAAAAATAAGTGATGCTGTCTCAAATTTAAAAGAAAGAGGAAGAAAGAAAAGAAGAAAGAAAGAAAGAAGGAAGGAAGAAAGGAAAGAAAAGACGGGGGATATGTCTCAAGAGCTCTTGTTTAACATGTATGAGGCCCTATGTTCAATTCCTAGTACAGCAAAATAGCTGGTAGTTTATGAGGTCAGAGAAAAACATCTATCTCAAGTCAATTTTTAAGCTTAATCCTTGAAAGTATATGACTAGTTTAACATAGCTTGAAATATCTGCCACAAACTTTCTAAATTAAAAATAATAGTACATAAATGATGCTTTGACTTTATAAAATTGATGATTTAAAAAAAATGTAATCCCATTTCATTCAGCATATTTATTTGACCCACTAATAGTTTTATGACTTGTGTTTAACTTCTATATTTATAATAATTTTCCAACAAAACAAATATACAAGTATATATCTATAGTCACAATTCTATAGAAATTTTAAATATTTACCTGAATCAAGTATAATGTGTCATTTGAAAAAAAATGTTATTCTACTAGTATCTCATCCCTAATTTTAGTGCCATTTGTGGACAAATGGACAAACTTAAGTATTTCTGAAATATAAATGAATACTTATGAAGGTCTTATTAGTTCTACTGATATATTTCAAATAAACTATAGAATTGTGAGATAATTTTATTTGCTAATTATGTGAAATTTTTACATTGACTATATCTAAAATTTATTTGGTAAATATGTGGTTTGTATATTAGTTAACATTTGTTTCTTCCATATAAACTAGAAGGACTTTTGTGCTATGAGTGTGTTACATGAATAACATAACTGTGGTATCTGAGTTGCTATTCACTTGCAAAAAGTTCCTCCTATTGTCTGGCCTCAGTCCCTCCTGCTGTTAGAAATTTACTCTCTCCCCTAAGCCCCCTTTCCCTTGGAAAGGAAGGATATCCAAGAGAACAAATATGTGAAATCAGAAAACAGAACAAAATTATTGCTAAAGGGCAAAACCTCTTGGCTAAATAAACAAAACAAACAAAAAGATTCCAGGCATCAGCCTTACCCCCTTCGTGTGTGTTTGTTTTTGTCTTTTGTGGGGCCTGAACTCTGGGCCTGGGTACTATATCCTTGAGTTCTTCAGCTCAAGCATAGCACTCTAGCGCTTGAGCCATAGTGTCACTTGCAGCTTTTTCTGCTTATGTGGTGCTGAGGAATGGAACCCAGAGCCTCATGCATGCAAGGCAAGCGCTCTACCTCTGAGCCACCTTCCCAACCACTGTCTTAGCTCCTTTTTCATCCTTGCTAAAAACTGAAAGAACATGTCTCCTGGACCTTTTTTCTGCACATTTTGTATCTTCAGAAGTTGTAACACTGTCCTAGATCATTTTTCTCTTGTTATTATAAAACAAATCCCACTAAAAGCCTGAAGCCAATATTACATGTTGCTACAGGATTATTCAGGTGTAGAATGAGTGTTCCATTAAGGGTAGCCTCTCAAGGTGACAGGACCAGAGGATCTGTTAAAACTGGACTTATTCTCATTGTCTAAAGAGAATAATATGGTCAATATGCTACCTCAATTATGTATGCTACTTAATAATTATAAAAATAATGATAAATAATGAAAAAATAATTATAAATAATTATAAAAAATGATCTAATTCACAGAAGATTATGAACAGCAATGACAGCTTGCATTCAAAGTCTATCCCATAGGTTCTGTTCTTCCTTTAGTGAGAAAATATGCAAGTCACATTTTAAGAATGTGAGCTATTTCATTTTGAGAGCTATGTGAGTGAAGAAGAAGCAACAAATTGACATTCTAAGACTTGGATTATGACTAGTTATATCCAAGGTGTTATCGACATCTATCTACACATACACAGAGGTTGAAAACAAGATGGATGATGAAGATTTATGTAGAATGAATAATTTTGTCAAATTTACCCAAATACATGCCGTAGTTCTGTTAATTCTTTTTCCTTGATCTGCAGGTCATCTTGTAATCTTTCTATTATAATAATGTAAGATTCACTGACTTTCTTCTTCCACTCATCTAGCAAAGAAAAACAAATGGAATTGATTCAGAGTTGTATTATGTAAAATGTAGACATAGATAACAACATTCAAGTAATCAAAACTGTTTTTTATTCCAGATTCTACAATACTTAATTTAAATTACTGATTGTGGGTTTAAATACAGATGTTTATCTTTAAAATGCAATCATATGAATTGTAGTAATTAAGAACCCATTTGACATTGTAAAATATATTTACATAGAAGAATATATTTGACTTATTTCATTTGATTTTATTGTATTTTAATTACAGCAATCTCTAATTGCTAGACAGTGTTTTAGGTTGTAAATGCTAGATAGATACTTAAGATTCAATTCTAAAATGTCTATATTCAGCAGTACTCCAAGTTTTTCTATAACACTTTGCCAAGGAATTAAAACAATATTTTGTATGATATAGTATATGTTATAAAAATCTTTCAGAGAAAATTGGGTTCAGATAAGCTCTACAATATTTCTTAAACTACATACACAGTGAATTATTAGTTATTTTTTCACTACAAGTAAAGCAAACAACATTTAAGGAAGTAAGAATAATTACCAGTGCAAGTTTGGGTTGGTCTAGATTTGTAATTTCCCATTTGTAGATTTTTCCTTTCCTCCCATGCAGTTCTTCACTTTACAAGATTCCAACTTCAAGTACTGTAACAGACTAGTTGAAAAATACTTTGATAGTCTGGCTAAAAATAAGCCAACTACCAAATGGAATGTCATGCAACAATAACAAAGAACAGAATAGTCCTGCTTTCAAGGGTGAGCACATAAAGGAACCTCATCAGTCTGATGTAAAGAGCTGCATAAAAAAATAACTAGCACTGTTTCAATAAAATGATTTACTTCCATCAATTGATTACCTACTCAGATGTATTTTCATGGGCCTTTGTTTAATAGATCATGTAGAGATACACAAGCTTCTCTAAAAGCTGTTGAAATTACTTATATTTTCTTTCAGGAACTTTTTTCCTCAGCTAAAATAAAAGCATTTGCAAAAGAATGAGTACTTATAGAATCTGTCTATACAAATAAATGCCAGAAACCCATATCATATAGGGTATAACTAAAGGGATGAGTAAAAACATTTGCCCGTGTAAGAGCTATAAAACTATTATTCGTAGCAACAAATTCTTAATGATATATAGTCTATGTTGTAAAAAAAAATCTATGATTATCCTAGGTGATTTTTCTGACCATAAGATTCATAAATAAGAACCTAAATAGTGGGTTTTACAAATGGCAACTTAGAAAACAATATTAATAAAAAACATTGAGGATAAAAAAGATTGAATTTTGCCATATTCTAGACATTAGCCTCAGAGCTTTACATCTGTTTGTCTTGATTATCTCATTCCCTTTTGTAAGGTTGAGATTACTCTCATGTTAAAAATGAGATCTAGAGTGGCTTGACATAAGTGAACATGTATATGATGTACAATAAATGAAAAAAAGCAGCAAAGAAATTATCAGATACTTAGTTGCACATTCTTTCTAAATATTCTATTATTTCTAGGAGGTATAGATTTCAATCTTGATATTCACTTCCAGAAGACATACCTTTAATGTAAGTAAGTATGGATTTTGTATTTACTACAATTTCAATATTTTAATAACTCTCTTTTTAAATTAAAAACAAGACACATTCCAAGATTTCTGATCCCTTCTCAGCAAAAGAGATCCAATTTCATATGGATTGTCTTCCATGATGGTAAGCTATAGCTGGAAAAAAAAAAAGCTATTTGACATCATAGACATCTCTGTCTTTGCTTGGCTACATTTATTTCCTTGTCTCTTCTTATTGGTGCATGTCTGTCAAGATTTTTTTATTTATTTTTATTTTATCTATTTGTGGTGTTTAAGTTAGAACTCAGGGCTTGATGCTTGCTATGTAGGTGTTCTATCACTTAGCCACATCTCCCTCCAGCCCATTTTTGTTTACTTATATGTTTGGTGCACAAAATAATGCCTTATGGTTTTGAGTAGGCCAGCTATAACTGCAGTACTCCTGTTTGCCCTTTCTGCATACCTTAGGTGAGAGATGCACATTACTTTGTCTATCTAGGCATAGGAACAGGGCTATCAGCCTCCTGAGAATAGCCAATTTTTTTTTTTTTTTTGGCGGTTTGGGGCTTGAACTCTGGGCCTGGGCACTATCCCTCAGCTTTTCAGATCAAGGCAAGCGCTCTACCCCTTGATCCACAGCGCCACTTCCGGTTTTCTGAGTGGTTTATTGGAGATAAGAGACTTATGGACTTTCCTGTCGGGGCTGGCTTTGAACTGTGATCCTCATATCTCAGCCTCCTGAGTAGCTAGGATTACAGGTGTGAGCCACCGACACCCAACTTTCTTGATTAGTTTTATTCCCATCTCGAGCATTTCAGATATTCTATTAATGTTATGTGTGAGACTATATGTATGCATTATATGAAGGGTGTGTGTATGTGTGCGTGTGTGTGTGTGTGTGTGTGTGTGTGTGCACGCACGCGCGCGTGTGGGTGTTCTTGAGTATGTTTATGTCCACCTTTATGAAGGGAAAGTAAGCTCTTGTTAACATTATTTCTAATTTCTTGCCTGGGTCCCAAATTTGATACACTACTTAAGGTTTTTCCTTTTGATTTTTCAAAAATACCTTTATTTTCTGCAAAAGGCTTGACCTAACAAATGAAAGCTTTGCCCCTTTGAAAACTACTTTTTCTGCTAACAGTTTGAAAATCTAGTCAGCAACTCAGTTGAATTCTCCCATGCCCTAAAGCAATAAACACTACTGAAATAAATGAAAAGAGAAGATAGCAACACAGCAAAATACCAATAGTGATAATGTCAATAATTACTTGCAATATTAACCATTCTCAGACTACAATTCCCGAGTTCTAATTGAACAATCTCTATGAGCCTCTTCAAAGAATTCAAGTCTAGGTAATGGGATGAGAGAAGTGGAGTTATTCTGGCCACTTTTGGGAGAATGAAAAAAAAACTATAATAGAAAGTAAATGATATGGGACAAAACTCTTTCTTTTCTTTCTCAAAGTATGCTGGAGGGACGGAACATAGAAATATTTTCCACACTACTCAATATTGTCCTGTAAAAGATTAGATTAAAAAAACTTTGCTTGCCCATATTTTATCCTTTTGCCAGTTTTGTAACTTTGGCACTTTCAGAAGTTCAGAAAGTATGTTACATCATGGGGTATCAAAAACAAAATGTAGGTGCAAACCTGGACATCTTTTCAAACTTTAGTGAAACAATACCACATGAGGGCTTTGCGGAAGGAAGGAAGGAAGGAAGGAAGGAAGGAAGGAAGGAAGGAAGGAAGGAAGGAAGGAAGGGAGGGAGGGAGGGAGGGAGGGAGGGAAGGAGGGAGGGAGGGAAGGCAGGAAAATAAACTCAACCAATACTAAACTGAGTTCTATTCCTAGAAATTCTGATTCAGAAGATCAAGTCCAGTAATCTGAATTTTAACTGACATCACTGATAATTCTAATATAGAAGCTACATTTCGTATGTTTTAAGAGGCATTACTTTGAGATTGCTTCTAAGAAGGATATGCCTCCTTGCCAGACAATTTTTAGCCTTTGAATTTCATGGAAGAGAAATAGAATAAAGAGAAGGAAAACTGTTTCACATTCTCAACAGCTCTGTCCTGAGAAAAACCTTGGGTCAATAGATGGTTTGACTTCAAATGTATAGTTATATACATTTTTATAATTAAAAAAATAATTTAGAAAACATGGGGGGAAATGAGATGTCTAGTCATAAGAAATTGATAGACAAAGTGGTGTGTACAGAAAATGGATGATTATTCAGTGATAAAAGAGATATTACATAATGAAAGATCCCACAGGAACATTATATGCACATTGCTAAATGAAAGAAGCCAGACTGGCACAGCTACACAGTGTGCAATCTTAAGACTGACATTCTGGAACTGGCCCAACCACAGAGAAGTGTAAACATTAGTGGTTGGGAGAAGTGTAAAGATCAGTGGTTGGGATGGGAGCTGGTGGCTCATGTCTGTAATTCTAGCTACTGAGGAGGCTAAGAACTGAGGATCACACTTCAAATCCAGTCCAGGAAGGAAACTCCATGAGACTCTTATCTCCAATTAACTACCAGAAAACCAAAAGTGGAGATGCAGTTCAACGTGGTAGATCACTAGCCTGTCCAGGCCCTGAGTTCAAGCCCCATAGCTACTACCACCACCAGCAACAAAAAATCAGTGGTTGGCATGGTTAGAGAGGAGAGACTGTGGGGTGGGTGAATAGGTGGAGCATAAGGGAGCTTCCAGACAGGGAAAGTATTGTAATATTCTAGTGAAGCAGAATATTTGGCAAAAGCATAGAACTATGCATCACTGATCTGAACCATGGACTTTAGTGTAATGGTAACTGATGCACTGCAACCACATGAAATGTTAGTAATAAGGGAAAACAGTGTAAAGGTGAGGTGGTATAGAGGGAACTGTATTTGTTGTTCTATTTTTCTATAAAAATGTGCAACTAGTATAACAAAAACATCTGTTGTTTTAAAAAATAATAAAAATATGAAATAAATGAGGCTTTCAAAGCTATAATTTCTTAGTGAGACAATTTGAGCTTTTCAAGGAAAGTGTAATATATAAGGCAACATAGGAATGTATGATTAGTTGTAGGTTTTTTTACACTTACTTTTTATTTTATTCAAAAATATCAGTGGGGATTTAGTTAATACTTTATTTCGCCAGTGATCATATTTTGACTAAAGTTCATGTTCTACTAAATTTTCCGCCCCGCCCTAATGCATCCATATTCTCAACTTATTTATCAGCCCATTTTGCACAGAAATAAATATGTTCTAGTACTTATTCAGTGAGCCTATTACTGAAATCCTTTATTTTTTAGCTCATATGATTTATTTATCTCACCTTACCCATAGGCATTTGCTATTTATAGTTTATACTGGTTTCTTCATGAATATTTAAAAGGATGTTTTCAAGATGGGAAGACAAAAAAATAACCTTGACACTTTGTCTACCTTTATGGGTCCTTCAGAAAAATTATAAAGAACATGTATTCCATGAAATCCAATTTTTGTGTCTCAAAAATTTCTCATCATATTTATGATACAATTCAAATTGCACTTAAATCTATGATCATATTGTCTTTCATACTAATATATTACCAAATACTAGAATACCTAGGTTAATGGATGACTAAGATAATCATTGCCTTAAACATAAGAAACAAATTACTAATCAGTTCATATTTAGAAATAATTTTTTATCTTCAATAAATGTTAAATGATTTATATTGAAACAAAGCGTTTACAAGAAAAAATGGTTGTTTCCTAAAGGATATAAAACTATCCAAGTTATTGTTTGATTATTATTTTAAAAACTTTCTGCATTTAAATAAGCATATATATAAAATTCCTAGTTGACAAAAAGTATTTTCAAGCAGAGCATATAAATTTGTTGTGTGTTGATAAACCTATAAATTTCCAGCATGAATATGAACATTACTAAGGTCATATTCAAATCAACTCTCAAAAATAAGTTGGATTTGAGAACATATTATAATGAAAACAATTGAGAATGGGACTTATTTCAAC